CAGCTTTTGATATAAGTAGTGAGCATTACATTTCAATGAAACTTGGTACTTACATACTCAAGGACTATGCAGAGATTGATTGTTAGGGATAAATATTTGTGCATATTAATCACCTAATTTGCATAATTAGTTAATTTTCAGCTTTTCCACAGGTATCTCAAGTACTAATCATCGCATTTCAATGAAACATGGTACATAGATCCTTTAGGACTATGCAGAGACCTGATTAGTTTCAGGGTAAATAATTGTGCATATTAATTACCTAATTTGCATAATTAATTTTCAGCTTTTCTACTGATATCTAAAGTACTAATCATTACATATCAATGAATGTTTATACATGGATGCTGTAGGACAATAGACAGACCTGGATAATTGTGGGTTAAAATCTGTACATATTAATTACCCAATTTGCATAATTAACCAATTTTAAGCTTTCACACTGATATCTAAAGTACTAATTATTCCATTTTAATGAAACTTAGTACAAAGATGCTCTAGGACAATGTACAAACCTAATTTGGGGTAAAAATCTGTTCATATTAATTCCCTAATTAGCATAATAATTCATAATTTTTTGGTTCTAATCACATTTCAATTAAACTTGATACATAGAGTTTTTGTTACATTGCGCAGACCTCATTAGTTTTACACACAAATCTATTCATATTAATTTTCTGATTTGCATAATTAGTTTTCAGCTAAGTAATTTCAAATTATATTTAATGTGTCTCCAATACTCTCAGCACATGGGAGTTCTTTCTAAGCTTTCTTTGATTATATTTTACATTGAAAATTAATTCCATACAAAACATTCAAAGAGTCTTTTTCAGTGAAAAAATAATTCCAGCTAAATAAAGTATTTTCAGTACATTCACAATGTAAACAATTATAATGTACAATGACTGACGAATTAAACTACAATTTTGTAAAACATTTCATTCACTGATTTAACAAAGCTGTTCAATAATGAATCTATCGCTGGAGCTTAATAGTTTAATACTTTATTTTCGCTTGAAATTAATTTTTGCTGAAGGGATGATTCGGTGAAAATAAAATAAATAAATTACCCATATTTTACATTCAACTTATCAAAAATCCAAAAATAAAACTCAATATAAAACATTCAAAAATTGTTTTTAGCTAGAATTAATTACAGCTGAAATAAAATATTTTACAGTATTAAAATTGTATCAAAGAACTGAGAATGAGTGTCCAATATGGTATGTGTTGGCGGTTACAGTCTAGCATGTACTTTACCCCATCGATATTGCAAGGAATACACTTCCTTGTCTCTGGAGGTAATCCTAAGTGCAGTATGTCTGAGCCTTTGATTCGCAGAACATGTATTTTGAGCTTTGTGTTGATAAATACATTTGTATGTGTTTTTAAATATCAAGGTTTAAATATAGTTTAAATTTCTATGTTTAAATAATCATAATACTAGGTACTAGGAACTTTGTCCACAATCCATATTACCGAGGGGAGAATGGGGGAGGGGGGGTATCTATATTATTAACAGCCAGTAATCATCATGATCTTGTGCATTTGACTTGCATACATATATTTTACTACATGTAGTGTGGGACCCACATACAATGTATATGGTCGCCATGACCACCACCACCCTGTATTAAACCAGACTCAATATGGTGACAACAGTTTTGAGGATTTATCTAAACTTCTGACAAAATAATAAGTTTTTGTAAATTGATTTCTTGTTACAGGTCATAGAGTGCCACTGCCACCAAATTTTGTGCCCGCACCTCCTACGGCAACTACCCACGATTCAGTATTCATACAGCCGGGCCTCACCAGCATTTCCCACACAAAACCAATCATCTTGCCTTGCCATGGCAACATGCCTTATCTCCATGGTAATGTAGTTGATGTTGTGATCAGCCCATTGTTTTTGGACTGTTTCAAGTTACCTCAGCTACCACCTGCAGTGTTGGACAACTTAGGGCTGCTTGGGGCGCCAAATTTGAGTGTGGAAACCATGGCTTTAATCACTATACAGTATCTAGTGCAACTCGGTAAGTGATAATGCCGTTTGAAACATTATTTAGTTATGCCAGTACAGTTCTTCAATTAGCAGTGATATCACTACCCAGATGAACATTAAAATATTTGATGAAGTTTATTAAAATATGCTAAAATTAGAATTTTTGCCGCTAATTTGTGATCCCCGGCAGCTAGACCTCTGTCAGTTATTTATCAAAAAAATATGCAATATATGCAGACACGTCTCATCCTATGAAGAATGCAGTTTTTGCTCATTGTATGTGTTGTAACAATATTTGCATTTTTGGAAATCAAATGTAGCCAGAGAATAAATTAACATTTCGCCAATTATCAAAAGGTTTCAAAGCTAGCTCATTTTCTTTCAAAACCACCACCAGCAATTGAATATCTACCTGCATTTCCCATACCACCACCAGCAATTGAATATCTACCTGCATTTCCCATACCACCACCAGCAATTGAATATCTACCTGCATTTCCCATATAAGTAACATCGATAAATTCTGAAAAAATAAGTTAAGGAGGACAATGATATTGACTTTAAAAATTGTAATTTGAAAATGTCTTGTTTTTTGCATCAATCAAACATTTTCTCCGCTCGTCATAGGCACCAGAGTTCCTACTCGTGAAGAGCTGGATGCTTCTTTTCTCAAGGCGCGACTTGAAAGCTGTCCTAAAGATCGCAGTGTTCAAACTCAACCACCACAGTTTGTAACTGTGGCTCCAGCCCAGTTGCCGTGGTTAGCCAGAATGGTGGCATCAACATCCAATGGACGAGTCAAGGTGATTGTACCACAGGTAAATTAATTTGTTACTTTATTTATGTAAAGATTATCGTCAGGCCATGGTAGACAACAAGAGCTAACAACAGAGACTAACATTCCCTGCAATGTCTATGATAGGATTATAATAACTAATTACAGTTCGTGATAAGCTCGGTTACTGAGCATCTCTTTTCGGGGATGCCTGGTGGTCGAACAGAAGATGTGCTGTAGCGTTTGTACGTCACGTACTCAGCAAGCGTTGTTTTGAGTCACGCATGCAGTACGTGTTTACTATAATTTGACATAGTATTTATAAAGCCGTGTATTTACTTGCTTTACTTGCTATGTTGGCAGATACTAGGAGTTTACAACAATTTACAGTGTTGGATTAGGTCTTATATTTAAACACACAATAGTGTTCTTCACATAGGTGTGCCGCCTCTCAATAAATATGGACATCTGGGAAAAATTTGTCACTGAATAAACAAACAAAACTTGTACGTAATTAAAACAAACATTGCATTGATTATGCAAGTCAAAACAAATTAAAATATCTGCCATCTCTTCAATTTTGAATTTTTCTCAGATGCTTTTTCAGGAATATACTAAAAATATATGACACAATCTGCGATACATAATACACAACTGCTCAATACTTGCCTTTTATTGACGAAATATAAAAAGAAAGAAAACATCAGCAAATTTAGAAAGCATGTCTGATATTAACACCTCTGTGTTCAGTTCACAATTTAACATAACAATCAATCTATTTATAGTCAATAGTTTTGTTTTGTTAATAGTAACTCTCTAACATGAAAATATTTGTTAGTACTCGTTCAAACAAAGTTCATAAAGGGGCCTTAGAATGTTTTCGTTCGTCCGTCCATCTGGAGTCATACATGTATTAGAACCCTGTAAACCAAATCTGTTCATTCTTTGCATGTGCCTAGTACTTTATGTTGAACATATGCAGATGCAGTGGTTTACTGATTCAATCCAAGATGGCTGACTGGCAGCCATTTTGTTTTTTTGAAAATGTGGTATCTAATGCATGCTTTTAGTTAGTTTTTGTTAAAATTTGGTACATATATATGTTAGGATACATGTCTATGACAATTGGTTTTGCGATCAGATCAAAGATGGCTGACTGGCAGCCATTTTTTTTTTTTTAAATGTAGTATGTTATGCATGCTTTGTCAGTTTTTGTTTAAATTTGGTATATACATTGTACATTTTAGATTACATGTCTATGGCAACTTGTTTTACAATTGGATCAGAGATGGCGGACTTGCAGCCATCTTGCTTTTTGACCATATTATTATATCTCCAAGGCTTTAGGGGATCATTTTCATTAGTATTTGGCATATACATCATACATATTGGTAGACATTAAAGTTTGTTTCATAATATCTTTCATGATATCTTAAATTTTGATGAATATTTTTGTCATTTTTGGTAAAAAGCGATATTTTCGACTTCTTGTTGAAAACCCCAAGTCTGATTGTTTTGATATTATGTATATACATGTAATACATGTGGGCTGCTCTCAGATTTGTTCATTTCGTGTTGATGTCTTCAATTATCTAATTTTGATGAATATGACTTGTTTTACTTAATTTGTTTGCTTCAACTTTGTCGAGCGGAGCTTATCATATTAGTCATTGTCCATTGGCATCAACTTTCACTTTTTTAATCTTTTCAAGTCTGATTTGATTGATACTTGGTGTATATGTACCTCTTTTAGATTTGTTTATTTTGTGGATATATTTTCAATTCTTTAATTTTGATGAATATTTTATTTATTTTTGGTGAAGTGTTCAACTTTTCAACTTATTGAAAATGCTTAAATATCATGTATATAGGTACATCTTTAATTCTCTAATTTTAATGAATATTTTTGTCATTTTTAGTAAAAGTGATATTTTCGACTTTTTGTTGAAAACTGCAAGTTTGATTGCTTCCCTCAAAACCTGTAGGTCATCGCCCAGTAAACTCCCCAACCCTACGCCAGTGAAAGCAAAAGACAATAACACAACACACCCTTTGCTAAAACTTCATCCTATATATTTTGCTATGCTGATGTGTTTAAATTACCATACTGTATCCTCTGATGTATTAACGATATTCATTATTTAAATCAACCTTAAAAACCCAAATAGTTGAATGATAATAAAAGAGTAACAGGCCAGAACCATTGTATACACGCTACAGCTGTTTCTTCTTGTACAGAATAGTGTTATTAGAAGTCTGTCATTGGAAGCGTTCATAGCTGGCCATCCGGGAAATCGTATTACATGACTCTCCTTTGTGTTGACTGTGGGTCACTTGGCACTTTGTCTGTCTATGTGGGTAAGGTGGATGATTTCGGAAAACCCAAAGTACAGCTGTGTATGTATTATCATCAGTGTTTACACTAGAAAGTGTGTCTGCAGTCACCAACAATTTGATTGCCCCCCTCCCCCTCCCCCCTAGCATAACAACGTGTGTTAGCATGTACCTGATTCAATCATGACTGACAGTACCATATTTTCCCTATTAGGGCATCACCAATATAAGCACAAATAAACCAACTGCTGCATGTATTATATAGAAATTCAAATTAGTTTGCTTACAAATAGGTCACCACTAGCATAATGGTTGTAGCATGTGAATAAGTAGACTCAAGTTCAAATCCATTTGATACATGTCAAGTTAATGATGGGACATTTAATGTTCAGAACTGTTGCCTGGAAAAAAAAAACTGACTACAGACACAAATTTGTAAGATGTATGTAATTGCATATGCTACTAACAGAAGATACAGTATTGACGATTTATTTTAACGGTAATCATATCATATCCATTTTGTCAAATTTCCTTCCTGATATTTTATGGTGATTTAGTACCGAATTCACAGACTTGTGTGAAGTACAGAATTGTTCGCTGAATGTGCAATCTACAAATTATAGTGAGTCTTTAGCATTTTCACCAACATCACAAATTCACAAAATAGTCTGTTTATAGTCTGTACTTTTCAAGAAATTTGGGACAAAAATAACCATTTTTTTCTAAGTGAATAATAAAAATAGTCTTAATTTTTCGTTCGTTGGCCCCAAAATTAGGTTTCATTTTCAGAAATATTGAAGAATATAAGGAAAAGTACAGAAAAATTAGGGAGAGTAAATCTGGTCGTACGCACACCAATTTATTTTTTAATTTGATTGCATTTTACATCCTAAAAACAAAACATGTTATTCCCCTGTAACTATTTCTTTGGTGGTTTATATTTTTGTTTTTGTTTTGTAACTGATAAAAATTTTCTTTAATTTTCACCAAAAATTACTGTACACTATAAACAGTTTTACATATTATCGTAAAACTAAATGTATTTGCAGGCTTTGTTCTGTTACAGGGATTTTTTTTGAGTAGTGGGGAGTAGTGCCATGGTCATCCCCCCCCTTAATCTAGGGAGCAGATCCTATGGCAACCATAAAATTCTGAATGACCCAGAGATCACATGTGGCCACAGTCTTCAACTATGACCTGACTGATAGTAATGTTGGCCCCAAAGAAGCCATATAATGCACCATTCCAACTTAGAATTATCAAAAACTCCACACCCTGGTAGGGAGAACCCCATCTCCCCCACTTTTTGGCACCACTGAATTGCAGTGCTCCCTCTTGCATTTTTTTCCCTAGAAAAACCCTGTTATATATAACAAAAAATACCAAAATAAATTTATTTAGCAGTCTTGTGATGTAATTGACATTGTGAATTGTGATCACTGTTTATTGGGTAGAAGGTAACAATTAAGGGCTACAATAACATATAGAGATATTTCTGCGTAAGGGTACCTCAATTTATATCCCATAGGAACAGTTATTTGTGATTTCCATGTAGTGCTAAGACAACCTTTATAAATCAGTCAACCTGCATACAATTGAGGTTCACAGTTCGAAAACTAGTCTAGATAAAGATTTTAAAGTTGGCTAGCACTAGAATAATTTGGCAAATATTTCAGTTAATTTCTGTCAAAAGTCTGTTCACTGTTCATTTCATTTCCAAGTCCGACTGTTGTAAACATCTCTCATTGAATCCCAGTCAACCTCGTATTGATTTTATGCCCCCATTATGTTAGTGAATTGCGTATATGTTTGCAAACAGGGTACCACAAGATGAACAGTGATTATTAGTCCCCGTTCGGACGCAGTCCGAAAACGGGGACTTATGTTTTGACCTCCATGTGTCCATGTGTGCGTGCGTCTGTGCGTGCGTGCGTGCGTGTGTGTGTGTGTGTGTGTGTGCGTGCGTCCGTGTTTGCTTTCGGACCTGTATCTTAGAAATGCCTGGACCAATCACAATCAAACTTCACACATACATCATACATGATATTATACATATGCACATCAATTTGTTTCACGATCTGATTCAAGATGGCCGAATGTCGGCCATTTTTGTGCTAAAAAGTCATCAAAATCAAGCATTTCCCAGCTGTTTAGATGGATTTTGTTCAAACTTGGTATATACATTAGACATGGGACCTTGATGCAAATAATTTTGTTTTTCAGATAAGATTCAAAATGGCCGATTGGCGGCCATTTTGTTTTAATGAATGTGGTTCTTGTGCCATATCTCTGACTTGCTTTCACTGATTATGTTCAAATTTAAATATTTAATATACATCATGTCATAGATAAACAGATATATTGGTTCGACGATCCTATTCAAAATGGCCGAATGGTGGTCATTTTTGTGCTAAAAAATCATCAAATATCAAGCATTTCTGGCATTTATAGATGGATTTCGTTCAAACTTGGTACATACATTGGACATTACAGGTTCCTGATGCACGTCATTTTATTTTTCAGATTGGATTCAAAATGGCTGACTGGCGGCCATTTTGTTTTAATGATTGGGCTTCTAGAGCCATGTCTCTTAAATGCTTTGACTGATTATGTTCAAATTTTATATATTCGTTATACATCATGTTATATATATACATGTATTGAAAATGGCTGATTTTGAATGCTGTTCCAGAGCAATATCTCTCAATATGGACAAGTACTTGTTTGACAATCAGATACAAATATCAATCATTTTAATGTTAAAAATCATATTTCTGACATGGTTATGTTCCAGCTATATTACTATAAACAAAACTTTTGATAACTAACTGGGACTGTGCCATGCATGGCTTGTTTTTTTAGTGGGTCACCTGACTTTCCCTTTAAGGATTGGCGTGGCTAACTCGAAAAATTTGGTGACAATTCTTAATATTGTGCAAACCGAATAAATAAATAAGTATTAAACCCTACTTTAAAAAACATTTTAGATTGGACAGTGGGAAAAATGCTCAATATTCAAAAACTAGTTCAGGCACACAAAGTTTTTTCTTCAGATTTTATAAAGGCAATCAATAAAGAATAATTAACCGAAGTTTTCAGGTAAAGTGTCCTAGTACTGTGAAATACTTTATTTTAGCTGGAATTAATTTTCGCTGAAAATATTTTGACTGTTTTGTGTGGAGTTTATTTTTACTGATTAATGTAAAATATAAAAAGGCATTTTCACTGGATTTTATTGTCATTGGTTTATTTCTTCAAGCAAAAATAGATTCCAAGTGAATATAAAATAATCTACAGTACTGATAGTTTCTGATTTGTTTTGTTCACAGGTATCGCTGGCTGAAGGTATGAATGAGTCGTTCAGAATGGTCTGTAACCCACATCCTACTGTCAGACAACCACTCTATTTTGTTGTTATACACGTATCTAGGCAACGAGGGACAGAATTTTGTGTCATAGTAGCAGGTATATTGGGTGCACTTATCATATTATCTATCATCTGCAGATTTACTGAACACAAACATTATTTTCAGTTCTACTGAACACAGTTGCATAAAATCTTCTGTAAATGTGAAGTTGGCTCACACGGACTTTCACTTTCAAACCTTACTTTGTTATTTACAATCAAACCTGTCATTAATGGCTGCATATTGAAGCAGCCACCTGCTTATAGCAACTGCAACCAGAAATACAGGTCAAAATTTATGTAAAAATACCCTTTATGGCTGTGTATGGTCAATTGCACTGACTATAATGGTTTCAACTGACTTGTTACTGTAAATTAATTTTTTTTATTTAAAGCCATGATTTATTTTCACTGACATTTAATTTCTCTGTTTGATACTTTATGCAAATTCACTGTTTTATGTTCACAAATTTGGAAGGGCCGAAACAATGAGTTTTGGCATTGTTTTTTACTTACGGACAAAAATAGCGAAATTGCAAATCAGTACATAATGTGTTTACAGTAATTGCTTTTTCAATGCTACCTGCAGTGTTCTTAACAGAAATGAAACATTTACTTGCAATGATGTCCTGTTTTTATAGTTGGACAAAAAAAAATGTATTTCACAATCATGTCAGGAAAAAAAAGCATAAATGTGAAATTCAAAGTAATGTTTTCATTTTAAACAAATCATTCTGCATCAGAGAATTCATAAATTGTACATTTGTGCACATAATGTTCTCTAAACTAAATGTCTCCTCATTCTCTGTTGCAAGTGTCACATTGATGGAAATTGTCTCATCATGAAACAATTCGGTAGACCCAAGTTCAAATCCTACCTTAGGCTGAACATCAAAAGGGTCGACCTCTATCCTGGGTGAGTGTGCCACAGACTCAATGGGAAGGCCAATTCCACTGGCTGAGATTCATTCACTGACGAATCCGACTTTGGGGGAACCTTGGTTAAGGTCCGCAGGTGCTTGTGTTCGACTGAGCTTGATTGACGCCAGGATAGCGCAATAAATTGTCATTTGATGGCTGCACAGCCCTGTCATGTAGTCCCAAATATGAATTTGACTTCTGTGGCAAAAATGCACTATGTGTCAGCACTAGAACTTGCAATTTGCAAAGTCAGGAGAGACAACAGTAACATTCAATGTTGCCAGGCACAAAAAAACATTTAAAAAAAAAAAAAAAAAAATATGAAACAATTCTGCTCGACATATTTATTTTTTGGTGTATACAGTGTATGAAGGTCAGTCCAATCTTCCTTTAGTGGTCACTATACAGAGATTTGAGGTTTATTTTGTTATCTTTTCTCATCACAGGTGCTCTGCAGGCACGTGTGCTGGTAGAAGCTAGATTCTCAATCCCAGAATGCTTTAAAGAAATAAGTTATCAAATTATCACTGGGAAGATCCACTTGTTGCACACACACTTCAAGAGAAACTGCTCAGGTGAGTCAAGTAGTTTTTGTTGCACTTGTTATTTTTCACATCCTCAAGTAACAAATATACTTTTGTGGTAGAAATATTGTAAATTTCACTTTGAAAGTAAATTTGCTCCTAAAGAAAGTACCAGGATGTGTGACGTTTTGCCTGATACAATGTACCAGGATGTGTGACCCTTTGCTTGTTACAATGTACCAGGATGTGTGACCTTTTGCTTGTTACAATGTACCAGGATGTGTGACCTTTTGCTTGTTACAATGTACCAGGATGTGTGACCTTTTGCTTGTTACAATGTACCAGGATGTGTGACCTTTTGCATGTTATGTCAGATGATCATAATGTCAATGTTGTACCTCTATTATTTCTACTTTCAGAACGAAATGATCATGACACGGCACTTGACAAATTCTCTAACAAACTTGGTGGCAAAGTATTTTTACCATTTGATGGTACATATGATCAAACTATTAAAGAAGAAATAGTTAATAACATAAAATTACTTCCTGTCACTGGTAAGTACAATGCATATCTGTTTTTAATGTGTGACTATGTAGAGGTTATTGTCATTGACAGTGTCTTGGCATAACGATTTTCAGTTGTTCCGTGAACAGTACTGTAAAATGACTATTTTTACTGGGTTTAAATTTCGCTGAAATACCATTTCAGGCATATTCATTGGGTTATAAATTCACGGTTTAATTGAAATAATGTGTTTTATGCTAAATTTTACATATTCACTGGGTTTTAATTTAGCACATTTTCCAGTCAGGGAAATAAGCAAAATTAAAACCCAGCGAATAATTAACCCTTTTACAGTAGTTTTACTAATAATTTGTAGATCAGCATCTTGACATGTGTCTAGACTGTTTTTAATAATAATAATTTTGAACAATTATTATTGGCACACTCTAGTTGATTTTGTTGAATGGCGGTGGTCGGGTGTTTGAATGTCATGTAAACAAACAATTGTTGTATGTGTCTCATATAAAACACAACGTAATATTGAAACCACTGTCTTCTAGCAATTGATCAAATATGACTGGATATGGCGACCCTTCAATGAATGTGTCTGTGAGGTTTTTTTTGTAACATCTTGTAAACTGCTTTAATTTTTTGAATTAAAATGATAAATTATTGCAGTAAAGATTTACCAGGATTGCGATTTTTATCCTCGCTAATGCCACAAAATCATAAAATCAGCCAGCCTCAAAAAAAAAAATGTAAACCGTTTTCGCGAGTTTTGCAAGACTGAAAAATGTGAAAATTTGTATTTGTACTGTAAAAATGTGTATTAGAAGCTGCATCCCTAATAGAAGCCTTGCACATTCTTTTTGAACAATTGAGAACCAAAAATGCACCATTTCTCATTTCGTATATGTATAGATGCTCTATTAGGAGCCGCACCCCCTCTGTTGCATTGTACAATTTTAAAACAAGCTGCACATTCTTATAAAGATTTTACAGTAAACATTAAGTTGAATTTTGCAAAATATTGTCTTGAAGAATTCCATACAATCTTATTATCGCAAACATTTCTAGCAGGGAAAATTAAACTGTTTATGATTCAACAATCAAATGCATAAATCTGATCTCTTCCTAATGTGAATTTGTTCTTATTTACTAGATAAAACTCAAGAAGCTTTTAAACTCCACCCTGTGCAAATTGCTGTTGCTATGAAGATACTGTCTCAAGTATGTGCAATAGCAGATTCTGACCAATTAGCTTTGGACTTAGGACGTTTCAGTAAAGTGGATTTGATAATTATTACTCCACCCTCATTGGTTGTCTATCACCAGTCAATTGATCGATTGGCTCAGTCTGGTAAGTAGGATTGACATTTTATTTCTGAAAGTATTGTAATCTGTTTAAAATCCAGTGTCTGTAGAAGCTGCCATTGCCTTTACAAAATGTGTTGTCTTGGCAGTAATAGCTAAAAGAAAACCGTGAATGTCAACATTGAGGGCGCTGTCCAATTAAATCACAGTATCCTCGGGGGCGGAGCTACGTCACAAGACGTTCCACGTTGCTAAGACGCGCACCACTGTATCATGCATTTCTATGGGCTCTGTGCGCGCTGCTGTGAAACACCGGTCGAGCCGGTGAAAATTCGAGAAAACAACACGAACTCAACTTTGAAGTAATCCTGAACAACCAAATCTATATATGTTACACACGTAGGGCTAATCTTGTTGCACTGTTCAGAGGAGTCTCAACAATCATACCAAAGTACCGTTTTCTGCGAGTTTTTGGCCTTTGTTTTCACCGCGAGGGTTGCCAAGCAGTAGAAAATGCCCGGATGACCGCCCAAGGATTTGTACCTTTTATGGAATGAAACTAATCTTGACGCTGAGGGCGCTGTTTAACCTTCCAAGAAATGGGACTAGTGTCATAAATACTCATTTGCAATATTTTTTTTTCAGGTCTGTTGATAGATCTTGGATTGGAAGAGATATCTAACCCCAAAATTGCTGAGAAGTATATTATGAGATGTGATAAGACAACTGACAGTCAAACCAAATTTGAGACTTTTCTGCACAGAGTCAAACACTTTCCGTACACTCTTTTTGTCGTTATTCAAGATCAAGCGCATATAGATATAAACAGGTATGTCTTTGCACCAAACCAATCAGGGAACACCTTACTGGTTTGTACTTAGTTATTCAGATTATTTCATATGTCATTAATCGCATAGTGGTATATGGGATTGATTTTATCCTCTAGAACCATTATATATTCGCATGTTTTTAACTTTAGTGAGTTTCATGGTGAAGCAAAAATAAATTAAATTAAAAAAATTTAAAAAGACACAAACATTTTCAATTTCACACATCCAAGATACATTCCTTGTTTTGACTTACCCGGTAATAATTCCTGCCAAATTACTCTACATGGGAAAAAAATTATCGGTTCTACAATTCTGCATAATGTAACTTGTGTGGAATTTCTATATATTGGTGAGCTACAGTACAGTTCTCGCGGAAGCTTTGGCTTCACAGCAGCTTCACCTTCGCTTCAGCATCGCATCATTATGGCATTGTTATGGCTTCAGCATCGCTTCAATGTCGCGACATTAAAAAGTTAGGCGGTTATCGCTTCGCTTCATTGTGGCCTCATTATGGCGACAATGTGGCATCAGCATCGCTTCATCAAACAAAGAAGTACAGAACTCATTTCGCCCAACCTCTCGCCCGCTTCCGCTTTTCAATCGCTCGCTTTTGCGACCGCTTGTTAAATTTCCGCTTTATTTTCGACTGTGCAAAAATTCTGACTACTAACAATTTTCATAGATCACGGTTACTAGTTTAGTAACCGTGCATAGATGTTAAACAACCGTCAAAAGTTCAAATACTTTTTGTTTTAACTATCTAATTATATGCACGCAATCTGACCCTTTGACCTAGATTTGGCTGGGATTGACTATTTCATTTTAAACAATATTCTGACGAGACGCACTGCTACAAAATGTATTTCAACAGAAGTATGACATGGTTGTCCGGGTTTCTTTTCCTGACTGTGTTGAGTTTACGATTTGTATAATTATTGTTATTTCCCCCAAGGAGAAGACAAGCCGAAGGACCATGAAGCTAAATAGAAGTCCCACGCATGGACTGAGTGAAAGAAAATATTTCTAAGGCTAAAATAAAACCTAATATCTCTTTGTGTATTTGTCAATTTTGCATATATTTGTTGTGACAGTATGTTCGTAAATATCTGGAAAAATCTCGTCTTTCGTTAATAATTTCATTTGTTTGAAATGTCAACCGACCGTGTCCCAATAATTTGTTTGGAATATCGATCCCCGTTGGTTTCTCCAAAGGGTCCCGACGTCCAT